ATTGGTGTAGATCCAGAATCTACTTCAGCTTGGTCATATTTTAGAGGTAACAAGCTGTTACCTTGACTCTATTGCATTTATATCTATTCAAGAATGAGATTGGGGCCATTTTGGCATGTTAAGGATCTATTTCGGGTTAGGGGTCTAGATCTGAGGTTGCTACTTCAGATATAGACTTGTCTTGGTCCGAAAACTCATAAAGTATCAGCCCTTGGTTTGTTGGTGAAGCATCCTTGTCTTAAACCTTAGCCCTAGATTGATTTGGGTCTATAGCTCTTTGTTTCCACGTAAAGTTTGCAACTTTACGTGAGAGTCATGCCCTAGAAGAGTGGATCTACAGTTTGGAGCCCCTGCATGACTCGAAAAGCCTCTGTATGAATAAAGGACTGAAGAGACTCGGCGAGTCTGTTGAAGATAGGCATGAACTCGACGGGTTGGAGGAACAACTCGGCGAGTCTGTTGAAGATTGTCGTGAACTCGGCGAGTCTGTTCTTGGACTCGGCGAGTCAGAACGCAAAACCCCAACCTCTTCTGGTTAAGACTCAGATCAGCGAGTTGAGTGGTGACTCAGTGAGTTGGACATGATAGGACTCGGAGATTGTTGAACTCGACGAGTCATGGGGTGACTCGGCGAGTCGAGTCGTGATATGAGAGTTTTCTGAGTTTAGGAACTCGGCGAGTCAACGGGTTGACTCGGCGAGTAGGGTCAATCAGGAAGGTTGAATTTGGCCAGGACTTTGACTTTGACCAGTTTGACCTTCAAGGGAATTATGGTAATTTGGATATTTATGTCAATGGATCATTGATGGCTATAGGTGTTGGAGTTTGGGGCAGTGCTTCGGGATTGTGCTTTCGTGGTTCGGTTTGGCAGTTTCAAGGTGAGTTATCCTCACTATACCCAAGGGTCTAAGGCACCAAGGCCGGCCCTTTGATTTGTTATTTGAGATAGTTACTGCTGTGATATGTTAGTTGGCATCCTGGTAGATAGGATGGCTATATGATGGTATGCTTTGTTAGATCGGTATTCTGGTAGATTGGATGTGGCTATGCTTAGTGACCTGTAGTTGGTCTGACTGTCTGTACGCTGGTAGGAGATTACCTGTTATATGTGCACGTGTTGAGCAGTAGTAGAGGGTATTCCATCCCGGTAGGATGATAGGGCCCTAGTATGTTGTCTTGTAGACTGTTATATGGTTATTTGATAGGTGCACATGTTTGCTAGTAGGTGGGCATTCCAACCTTATGGTTGAGGGCCTGGGGTATTCCATCCCGAGGGATGATTGGACCCATAGTTGTTATTGTATGTATAGTAGGTGGGCATTCCAACCCGATGGTTGAGGGCAAGGAGTATTCCATCCCGGTAGGATGATTGGACTTATAGTAGGTGGGCATTCCAACCTGATGGTTGAGGGCCTGGGGTATTCCACCCCGAGGGATGATTGGACCCATAGTAGTCATTGTATGTATATGTGTGTGGGCATTCCAACCCGATGGTTGTGGGCCGAGAGTATTCCATTCCGAGGATGATTGGACTCGTAGTATGTTAGCATTCCAACCCGACGGTTGAGGGCCTAGGGTATTCCAACCTGGCGGTTGATTGGACCCATAGTATGCTGTTCATTATTGTATGTGTATGGTTGTGTGTGTACGGGTATTTTGGGGGAACTCACTAAGCTTTCGAGCTTACAGTTTCAGTTTATTGTTTCAGGTACATCAGGTGATCGTGGCAAGGCAAAGGCGTGATCGTACCGCTCCTCATATTTCATGATTTTGTGATTTGGTTCTGGGGATACTCTGATGTTTAAACTATTTTGAAAACAAGTTGTAATAACTTAATGATTTTGAATGGGTTAAAATGTTTTAAATTGGCTTGAATTTTATGGGTGTTACAATAATCATAATGATTAAAACAACAAAGATACTAATTAAATTATACAAATATTTAAATATTTAAATGTATATATATACCCAGAATGGTGTCGTAAATCCTAACACCGAGTATTGGAAAAGTCGTCAAGGCTCGGGTAGTGATAAATAGTTATTGATAATTTTCCAAGTCTCTTGAAGATCATCGAAGGTGGACTCCCACAAGTAACTACCCCATGGAAACCTACAAAATAATTTTTTTAATTATAACAAACTTTACTATACAAAAGAATAACGATTCTAATTCCACAATTTATACATGTTCCAGTCATCCAAGTTCTCAGCCAAAAAAATCAGTCTTGTTGTATACGATCATTTGCTTCTTTCCCCCAAAACACTTAACACAAAACGTATATTAGGCATGCTCTCACAACATCATTGTCGTTAGCAACTAAGAAGGGATTGTTTAATATGAAACTTTTCAAATCATATATTGCCACCAAACTATTTGTTTTGCTCGAAAAGAAACGTTCCATCAATAAACACCTTTTTTTACTACCAGTTTACTTTTTTCGGATATTTTTTCCTATTTGTTTTGGATACGTACACACTAAAATTAAATCTGGTGATCAGACAAAACTATTCAGGGCCATAAACCATTTTCATATCGCCCACTTTAAAATACAATCGTTTTATGCCATCTTGAGATAATACTGCGTCTGGCCGTATCTGATGAAGAAACATTTTGTGAAATAGCAACTCATCCCCTTGTAATGAAGGGACGTCCAACAAAAAACCAAAAACAGTCATTCTAAATGCTTCACATCGGGCAACATTCAGTTGTTCAAATGTTTCCCATATATTACACCCCGATCCTTTCAGATTAACCACAACTTTAACATTTTTATAGTTGTGCTTAAATAAAACAAGATGTTAAAAGGGTATAATTTTTTTTAATAACACATTAAATTCATCACACAACACCAACGACAACACAACTGGTAATAACTTTAACAAAAAATTTTATAAGGAAAGTAAGTTGTTATTTCTAACTATACTAAAAATTCATAAAACTGTCAAAAAAACATATAAATATGACAATTCAGTTGCAATGCAATTCATACTTTACATAAATCTACAATACAAACTATGAAATGCATCGGAAATAAGATCTACACAACAAGATTATTTTTAGTTTTTCAACATAATTGCATAACAAATTAACTACACATAGCATCATATTTGTGGCATACTACCATGAGAAAATCAACTACGAAATGCATTGTCTATCACATTTGCATAATAATAGCATCATAATCAATTTCATAACAATAGCATACTATGAAATGCAAAGGTGCAACTTCAAGATGCATCATAAATCAGTTTTATAACACAAAACATATTTATATAACAATTATATAACATATTTTTAGTTTTTCTAACATAATTGCATAACAAATTAACTATACATAGCATCATATTTGTGGCATACTACCATGAGAAAATCAACTACGGAATGCATTGTCTATCACATTTGCATAATAATAGCATCATAATCAATTTCATAACAATGGCATATTATGAAATGAAAAGGTGCAACTTCAAGATGCATTATAAATCAGTTTTATAACACAAAACATATTTATATAACAATTCTATAACATATTTGCATAACACTTGCATCAAAAATCAGTTTTTTTTAAACGGCAAACTATCTAAACCTACTCTTAAATACCACATATGTCTCCTAAGAGACTTGAACCCATGACCTCTCATTTGAGAGGATCACTCCTTACCGCTATGCCAAAGGCCTTTTGGTATCAAAAATCAGTTTACTACCAATATAATCTATGAAAACCAAATATACAACCTCACAATGCACGATTTATGCATCACGTACTTGTACAATCATAGATCTGCAATATACTAACAATACCAAGTATAAAATGCTCTCAAAACCGCAATGCTACTTATGAAATACTCTAAACATCGAATATAACACATAGATCTATGAAAATCGAAGGGGCAACACCTTTGATTTTCGTTTTTTCCCTATTTTTTCCGGATAATTCATAAGCAAACTTACCATAAACATGATAAATGATGATTAGAACACAAAATCAGTAAAAATCCATGTTTTCGAGAGAGTGCATGTTTTCGTTCATGGCTCCCACATAAAGTGTTTTCCCCAACAAAAAACTTGAAAAATGAGTGTTAAAAAAGGTATTTATAGGGGGATAAATCGAGGTTCACAGATGGACCCTCATGTTAACGTACAACAATCGATACGCGTCCACGATTTACCAACTTGTACATTCGCAGATATGAAGGAGCAATTGCAAATATCCCTAATTCATCTGTGATTTTAGTGGCTAAAATTGTAATCTTAGTTTTTTTGGATGTTTTTACAAAGTGATTAGCAAAAGTGGTTATTTTTGTAAATTTCTCAAAATTTTATTTGTTTTAACCAGTAAACCGAACCGAATATACCGTAACCGAATTAACCAAAACTGAGTAAACCGAACCTTATTTAGTTTGGTTATGAGTAGTTTTAAGATGTAAAAAAACTGAAAAACCCGAACCGATTAAACTGAAAATAAGAAAAAATAATAATAATAACACCCCTACCTAGTACCTACAACTATAGAATAAAGTTCAAAATAAAATTAATTAAACTTTCATATTAAAAAATCAAAATTATTTTAAATAAATTATTGCTTAAAAGATATTTTTTAGTTATATAAAATTGTAATCATTGATTTAAATAAATACTTGAAGTTACATCACCTTATCATCTGTATTAATTTAATTTTATTTTTTAATCTAATGTTATTAATTTAATATAATTAGAGTGAAAAATTTTAAAATTTAAAATTTAAAATGAAGAATCAATTATTAATTTAAGTAAATTAGAGTAAGAAATTTAAAATTTAAAATAAATAATTAATAGGTTGACAAGTACATGACATATAATATTAATAAGTATTTATAATATTATGATACTTGTTAATAGACAAATAGATTTATTTATTCATTTATTAATTAGAATAGAAATAGAAATTAGAAATTAGAATAGGACTAGTGCCGCCCAGGCTTATTTTGATGGTGCTCAGCTCAAGTGTCGATCTACACGTTCATCCAGAGGACACAGTCTTCCCATCGGCACCCACAGTTGAAGTAGTTCTCAACCTGAACTTGGTTCGGCTAATATAACTTGAAAACTTGTCGTTGAAGCTTTCACGCCTAGAAATAGAAACATTTGAAGGAGCTCTCATCTTCATTTTCGTACGATCGATATAACCATTGACGTTTTGCTCACTAAAAGTCGTCTGCCCAGTCAACTCCTTCCCTCCTGCACCACCATCACCATCTCTAGTTTTCTTGATGTTACTTGAAGAGAAACGCACAAACTTTTTAGTGGGTTTTACTACGGGGGGAGGAATGGACTCGCATGGGATTTGATTCTGCAGCGCTTCGCCTGAAACGGGTTGGTGAAGAGGGAGTGATGGGATTTGGGGAGCATCAGTGGTTGTCAGTGAAGGATTTGGAATGTTAGTGTTCTTAGGACAGTGTGAAATTCGACGTAAAGAGCCAAAAGTGACTTTGGATATCTTCTCATATGAACTTCTGGCGAGGCTTTTGCTTGATTGATCTTTCGCCATCAGGTTCAGATTTGGGGGTATTTGGTAACTTCAAAACTAATAAGCAATTTGTGGCTATTTAACAAGGAATTGAAAACGAATTTGCCTGATTTGGTAACTAGAAAATGTGCATTTCGTTAGTGGGAATTGGAATTTTGAGATTCAGTTTTTATACTTTATGGCGTGTTTGACTGCCTGGAGGACGGAATTGGAATTCAATTCCGTTGGAGTCCTTCAAATTTCATGTATTGGGATTTGAAGGATTATTGCATAGGAGTTATCCTTTATTATCTCACTAAAAAACTAATATAAAAAATATAGAAAAATTAAAATTATATATAATACAAATTACAGTAACAAAAAAAAAAACTGAATACAAAAAAAAATTAAAATTTTTAATTTTTTTTTTACTGAATTTCATTTTATTTCCATTTAACCTGATATATGACATGTCAATGTGGTACTAGCCACTTGGTAAATGTTGTCTCTTAGATTAGAGGTATCGGGTTTTAATCCGGACATTGGCGATTTGACTAACTTGGTGATACTAACTTCTAACCACTAACAAGTTGTTCAAAAAAAATATATGTGACATATTATATTACAATGCTTTTGATTTATCTTCCAAAAACATTCTACGAACTAAATGTCCTTTTAGAGATTAATCGGTTGATCAAGGTTGTTATTGTTACATAGGAAACGTCAGACTAGACAAACTATCTAGAGTTATTTTCAATGATGTAGATGAGAGAATTCACGTGTTTTGCACAGACAAGAGATCGATAGTTGAGTAATTGCCCGATCCTGGTACATTTTTGTTGGATATGACAAAAAATCACAATTTTTGTCTCAAGAGTACAACTTGTTCAATCATGTCCAGTCAATCAATAATAAACGGTTAAAAGAGGTTAGACTAGGATTCTTTAAGGGCATGCATGATATATTCCGCACATAATTGCATTAAGTAATGTTTTTATATTGTGTTATTGGTAAGGGATCACATTCGATTACCTGCTTTTATATATGGTGCTACAACCTGTTAGTGATCAGTTATCAAGTGTGTAGAATCAGATTCTTGGAAAGCTTTCCAAGTCAGAAAGAAATTAACCACCAAAGTTGGAGGAATATTGTTTAAAAGTGGGAAACCTCTATGGAAGTTTATTCATATAGACCAATTATAGCCTAAAAGAGTATGGTGAAGCGCTGTCAATATTCACATGTGCAAAATTTTAGCAGATTCCAAGGTAGAAAAATGTTTTTGCCAAATTGAAATACTATGTGGATGGGTACATGCATGCATGGTGCGAGATAAGGATCCACGTCTCTTTAAAGATGCTTAATCGAACCCTAGAATCTGTATCACATCAAGCATGTCTTCTATTCTCCAACCTCCACTAATCGCATGTACATATAGCTAGTTATTTATGGTAGTAATATCATTGCTACTTTTCGCTAGTATGATTACAAATTTACAATACAGATCATATGTAAGAATACGCGCACACACGCACACACACAAATGTTAATTACTTTATGAATAGAGCTTGCAAATTATGAAAGGGATATTGTAGGGAATAGGATCGTACTTTACTCTGGCTGCCAATATAGACGATGTACTTTATTTTTTTACCCATAATAGCAATGTACTTCCATTCTTTACCCATGATAGCAACATACTTATTTTTTACACATAATACCAATACGTAACTTGCAAAGGTCACATATTGCTATTATCAATAAATGTGGATAAACAAATGTAAGTACATAAAATTAAGGAATTGGAGTATTTTAGATCCGGTTAATTGATCTACTCATATATGCCATTGATTTCTTTTTGTATTATTATTCATAGTATCGTATTTTCTTAAATCATTTTCTTCTATTCTATCATGATGGTTTTGGGTGGAGGTATGATTTGTCCGCATCTCTAACTTTCCCCTTACAAACCTACATCTTTGTGGGAATTGGGTATATTTGTTGAAACAAATGTAAGTACATTGTTACCAAGGGTAGAGAAATGTAAGTACATTGTTATTATTATGTATATAAAAAAAAGTACATTGCCCTATGTTGGTAGCACACTCTATTGAGTTACAGATGGGTTCTCAAACAAATGCATATCAACGGAAAAGAAAAACAACCAAAAATGTCATAAACATGGCTTGTGATTCACTCAATTGATTCAAAATTACAGTAAACTAGATGGTGAAGTACATATATTTACACCTTCGGGTAAGGAAATTTGAGAATAAACCGAGCAGAACAGAGGATATGTAACTTCTAATGTAGAACTAATGCTAAGAACTCATAATTATTCATACATACATACATGATACATACAGTTCTCAATGACAAAATTATGAGTTTGAGTTTAAAATCACAGTTATTGATATGCATACAAATGCAGTTCTCAGTGACGGAAGGTCTTCACCACCTGCCCAATTCGACATCGACATAGCGGACAGCTCGTTAGGTGTGAAGAACATGTCACACAACAGCACATATGACCACACCTGAAAACCATATTTCTTTTTCTTCATTTCATATTTTCTGAATATAATAATAATAATAATAATAATAATAAGTATCTAAAACGAATAAAAGGGCCAACAAGAGTCTATGTTATACGTTGAATAAACTTTTGAGTTTTGACTTTTCGTTTTGGGAGTATAAGATAGAGGGGGCAATCTCAAAATGTTTCTATAGAAATGGGTCAATTGAGCTTATCTTTTGTTGTAAGTTCACTTTTTTTTTTCTTGTAAGGACATTATACTTTGAAAAATCTAACCAGCTACAGCAGCTTGTATTTGTATGGCATTGCTATAATTGGGTAACTTGTAACAGGAAGAAATGAAAATAGGATGCTATAATAAACAAAATTACTTTGCTATTTCTTGTATTTAACCGCATATAGAGCATGGGAAGCCATGCATGAAAACTTATTATTGAAATACATGTAAAAGTGATTATACTATACGTCTGATTTTCTGATTATTTAGGGTCAAAATAATCAGATTTGGAGAAGCATATAGAAGTTGCTGTAAGAAAATTTATTATTTAAAAAAAAATGTAAAATTACCTACCTATCTAAAATGTCCATGTATGATGTAACCACCTCTTTTGAGTTTTTATAAGACTAAGGAGGGATAATTTCAGAAAACTTACGGGACAAAAACAGAATTGTACTCCTGTTCAAGACATATGACACATATATCAGGCATTTGCACATCCTTTCGGGTGCCACTAAATCCATTTTCTGCTTTACCATTTGAACCTGAAATTTTTTTAGTAGCAAAGAGTGAACATTGTTGTTAGGACCTAGCAATGAAGTTCTGAAGAAACCAAATTGATGTATAGCAAAAAGAGCAACTGACCTTCGTTATCTGGAGCTGCTCTTTTGGCTGCAGCATCACGAACTCTGCATACAAAATTTGAAAGAAAACAACTGCTCATTTCATTGTAATATCAAAAAAAAATTCGGTTGAGCAAAAATACAAAGGATGAACAACAATTGTGGTGAAGTGGAATGAATGAGAGTTCTCAATTTAATTATTTAAAAATGGGTCTACTTGGGTTATCTTTTACCTCCAACAAGTCAAATTGGTAACCATTACAAGCATTGCAAATTAACTACCACTAGTCACTACCCATACCTTTTCTTCAATTCCCAATGACGTTTTCTTTCCATTATGTATTGAAAAGCGTGCTTAGCAATCAGATAAAAACCAAATGCAGCAAAACTCATTGAAGCATACTTGTACCACCTGGAAAAGGAAGCATTCAGTAAACAGACATAGAAAATAAAATTTGTTGTTATTAGGAACATGAAAACAGCTTCCTGCATTTTGAATTTAGTCATAAAATGCTTGCAGCTTTCTTTAAAAACAAATTGAGAAAACTTAATATATATATATATATATATATATATATATATATATATATATAACCAATATGCACACACATGAACATATTGACTGATATTAAATAACCTGGCCCATTTCCCAAGATTTGCAATGAGTTGATCGATGGTTTTGTGAGAGACATAAAATGGGCCTTTGAGGGGTCGTTGGATCCGAACTGTTCCAATGTCATCTTTAATAGCCTGCATTTCAGGGAAAGACTCAAACTGATAGTTTTTTTAAATATACAAGAATCGAACCAAAAACTAACATCAACTCTGATAAAAATAGATATTAAGCAGATTCAGAATTATTAATTATAGTTAGAATCATTATGAACAATAAACGTTAGATACTAACAATGTTCTCCCTTCACCCACTTAAAACTTATTCACAAAGCACATAAAAAAGGTTTTCTATTAGTTAAATTTTATATGGTCAGCTGCCAAATGGATATAATAAACAAGTTAAACAAAAGAGACAATGTTTTTTTTCTCACTTGTATAAAAACACCATACCTCACCAACAACAGTTAATGGAGTGCCTGTTGGAAGAACACGTTCAATTCTCTTGACTCCAAGCATCTTCAAAACAATGACATTATAATTAAGCCATACTTAGCATCATGAATTCATTTATATGCATACATAAAAATAATGTAACAAATCAAGACATTCCATACCTTGAGACCTTGTAGATAATCTAATGTTCCACGAACAAGTGATCGTCCTGACTCCTCAAATACTTCACTTCCAACAGTTAACACCAAACCAGCAGCACCACGAGCTCCAACAACATATACATGAGCACTTCCATCATCCTAATAAAAAATTGTAAAATTAAGGACATGATTTCGATGCGTTTATGTGAGAAAATGGGTTGAATTTGGTAGGGGTGAGCATAATAACCAATAAACCGAACCAAAACCAAATTAACCGCTATAACCGAACCATAATAACCGAACCATTATAAAAACCGTTGGTTCGGTTTCTAATTTTTGTTAACCGCTAACTAACGGTTCGGTTATGGTTTTATAGGTTAACCGAACCATTATTAACCAAACCGCCAACTTTATATTTTAATATATAAGAATTATAGATTATACATAAAATAATATAGTCAAACTTATCTAAGATCCATTAAAATATTGAAAATATAATCCATTAATCCTCACTTATCAGGAGACGAATGAGCAATCAAACCATCAAAGGCTGATCACGGAGACACACACAATCTTCCAATCATGCATTGAGTTAGATTATTGATTAATGTTGTAATTCCTAATCGGCTAATTCTACAATTTATAAACATTATTCACAAGTAGTTTAATCTTTACACTCATAATCGTAATCGAAGGCTTCTCACACCGTTAATCCTAATCAAAGATTGTTTTGACTTTATAGTCCTATTCGAATGATTTTTTGACTTTATAATCAAGACTTCTAGGTAAGTTAAGTTTTTGGTTCTTCTTGACTCTGTGATATATTAAGAATGTATTTTTTTGGCTTTTTTTAATTCCTGTTTTTGACTTAATCACATTGAATGTATATGAGCGATTGTCTTTTTTTTATCCAATAACACATAATATAAATGTTTGACTCTTTTATTTTATAGTTTTTGATTTAATCGTATTGAACGTAACGTGTATGAATGTTTGGCTTTATTTTAATATTAATATCAATTATCAATATATGAGATTATTAATGTCAATTTTTTTTAATGTTTTATATTTTTATTGAATGTTTTTGATTTTGAATGTGACTATGTGTTATCTCACTCTAAATATTAAAGGTACACATTTTATTCTATTAGTATAAGCTAGGTTACAAACATTGGCGTCGAGGACTTTTTGGTATTCTATTTTCATTTTTTATGCCAATATACTTCCGTCATTTATATTATTTTCAACATTATGGTTAACCAATAATAACCATTAACCAAAACCGTTAACCGATAAAAACCATTAACCATAACCAATATTACCCATACCCAATGGTTACCAAAATGCATTAACCAATCATAATGGTTATGGTTCGGTTTTAACCAATAACCAAACCAAACCGCCCCATACACACCCCTAGAATTTGGGTTATATTTTATTGCTAGCAAGTTAGATGGGTAAAATTGCTTACTAAGAACCAGGGAACCTCTTTACACATTGATAGCATAAGCGCAGAGTCTTGAATCCATGAACCAGCATCATTATGTTTCAAAAAGTGTTGCTCTGCCTAGAAATGATAATAGAGAAAGTGTCATATTGTCATGCCATCAACTTCTTTATAAAGCAATGAAATTTGAGCATGAAAAGGAAGAAATAACAAGACACAAGTGTATGCAATTCAAAAGGCTTATTACTGTTCCTCCACGATTACTCCTCTCAAACCACTATACTCGCAGTTGATAGGAGTATCTGAACCAACTCTACCAGATATTGTCACGACAAAAGGCAACACTTTGTTTGCAGCATCCAGTAATTGTGCTGAAATGTTAACAAAAAAAAATACATTATTCATCAATTACGTAACACAATCTCTATCACTCTCCTTTGTAACTAATTATTGAGATAAATGTAATACTGTCTAACTATCCTAACTCTCATGATTGTTTGATTCTCATTTTATTTCCTAAGCATCCAAACACCTCGCGCTAATGATAACAAAACATGAAAAAGGGCTGCACTTGAAGATTATAACACATTATGCATGCAATTTTGAAGTTAATACATAAACTCTCGTTAAATGCTCTTTTTTCGAACAGGGGTAAGAAAATGGTAGGGTAAATGAATGACTAACCCAAATCTTTCAGTTGATTAACTCGAGTTACCGATTTGAGAACCTCTGCATCCCTGCAACATCAATATAACCAAAAAAATACAAATTTGAATGAGCAGAAACTAAAATACACCGCTAATTAAAGAAAGAGAGCATAGAATAGGGATGGATATATTTACTTTCCGCTACTTCGTCCAAGAAGATAGAGAGCGGCGGCACTCAAACAACAAGTGACTCCGCCCCACGGAACCATCTCGATCTGTAAAATTAGAACACTGATCAACGAAAGTAACGAATATTAACCTCCAAACAATGAAGAACAAACATAGGGCATGGCAGAGAATGAAGTGAATTTCAAGGTGGGGATTGAAATACAAGAAATTGGTGATTCAGGTAGGGTTTTTCTTGTTTGTTCCAACGATTGATTGCAAAAAGGTAAAAGATTTGTGGATAGTTAAAGAGGGATCCGATGCTTAGAGGGGAGGGAGGGAGGGAAGGAACTACATGAACTCGTGGAGTTGGGCAAAATCCATGTAGATGAAACTGTAACAAAGAAGCTGGGTCCACTTTGAGTCCACGTTTCGATAGAAAATAACCCTTGGGCTAAATTAAAGGGAAAATGACTTCTCAAGGTAATTAACTTCTATATATACTTCTGGGTAACTATCTTTTTTTTTACACATCTAGGTAACAAACTTGTTGGAAGTGTTCACATATGACCATTATGACCTGTTGTAGCAGGTTACATCCTAGATGTGAACAATTTCAACAAGTTCGTTACCTAGATGTGTACAAAAAAAGTAGTTACCCAAATATGAACAAAACGAAAAGTAAGAGTAAATTACACGAATGGTCCCTGTGGTTTCGGGGAATTTATGTTTTTGGTCCCTAACTTATTTTTTTAACTCGGATGGTCCCTACTGTTTATTTTTGTCGCACGTTTGGTCCCTGCCTTACCTAAAAAGACTATTGTGCCCTTATTAATTTATTTTTTAGTTAATTTTATTATTTATGTATTTATTTTTTATATATTTAAAAAAATTAATAGACCCTACATATTTGTATCTCCTCACCGTAAACCTGAAACCACATTTGAGAAATTTAATTTGGGTCTCACCGGTCACTATCATATCTCTCATACTCCTCAACTTCTATTTCTTTTCCATCTTTAGTGACATCGACGTCTTCACCATGCTTCTTTTTTTGGTCCTTCAACTCTGGCGAACCAACACCATAACCCACTGTCTCTTCATCTTTAGTGGGTTCACTCGGTTGTGGTGTTAATTCGACGGAGTTGAAGGACGGAAAAAAGAAGGGATGGTGTATACTACGGCTCCCCGTAGTATCACCACACCCTTTCGCACTAACTCATGGATGTTGTAGCTCCCCGCAGTCTTACAACACTTCCTCTTACCACCCCACGATCTCATCCTCAATCGATGCTATAATGCATTCACTAACTCTTGTTCCACGGCCCAACCTTGATAGGTGCGCACACACCCATCCAACAGTAAGAATTCACTACTTCGGACGGCAACCGCCATAACAAAACTCCTTTTCTCGCTGCAATCCACCTTCTTAAATAATCTTGCTTGTCATCAATTTGCCGAAGGGCTCCCACTGGAACCATAGATACTTGCTACCCATTTTCCATCTCTTAACTCAAAAACTCAAAATAATATGGAATTAAGAACATCATACTCGGATACCTCGGTACACCATCACAGAATCTCACGATGTTCTGCCTCAACCACTGATCTCACACTCACGACATCATACTCAAATACTGCATTGCTCATTCAGAATCTCACAACCGATCTTCCTTTCGTATCACTCGTAACCTCAGAGTATTCCATTTCCAATTTGAAACACAGAGGCATCGTCAAAGGTTCAGAACACGTTGACGAAAGCCCGAAGCTCCACCCTCTACTGATCACTACCCATACGAAAATACTCATGTCGATCCTGAAATTGGTTGACACATCATCTGTTGCCCTTCCTGGGGTATAGATTACAATCTATACCTATACTTGTAAATCTCTGCTATTGCACCCTGAATCCAGCGACCCCATCGCACTCGAACTCGACATACGCAATTTCCGAAAATCCCAGGCCACAATGAATTTTCCAACCAATGGTCACCTGCCGAGGATCCACTCATCCTTTCCTAAACACGTACTCGTACATTTTCCTACCCGAAAACCTTGCCTCATCCTTCACTAGCTCAGGTCTCATATGTCCGTACCGCAGGTTCCCATAACCATTTCTATGCCCGCACTTGAATGGATCACCGATCCCCTTTACTGGAAAGCCAATTCTCCCCCACTCAGGGTTCGAATCATCATCATTTGGCACGACCACAATCTACTCAGTAGACTGTCCCACCAGGTATGTCACCCTTGACTCTTGAATGTATAACGTAATCATCCCAGGGACTTCCCCAAGGAAACCAAACAATTCCCAAAAATCCCATCCCTGACAGCATCTTGGAATCCTCCCCACATAACTACCTCTAGACACTTCGAGGCCTCAGACTGATACACCGTCGGAAACCCCACTTTTCCGAATCCAATCTGTCTCAAATCTAGAAATAGTGCCCTCTCACACACTTTGACTCTAACACTTCGCCCCGCTTACCAAATCGGGTATAATCCTAAAAGCACATACCTCATCCTCATTGTCGATACACAATGCGGACCACGAGGGCCACCACCCCGATATACTCATCTCATCCACCGGAAACTGGAAATAACAATGCACCACTCTCAACAAAGCACCTCCTCGTTCCCAACCATCATAGCCCCACTAATGACTCACTCATGGGATAAGAACATCTGTCACAACTTACCGCCCAAACATTCTGGTGAAAAGATTACCACCCTTTGCTACCCTCACAGGGTCTACCTCCAACCCTAAAACCAGAATCTCATTATTCCCTTCTGCTTCTCACAAAAAATAGTACAACTCTGGTCACCGAAAGTGGTATCTCCGCTATCGGCCGATTGCTCAGCTCAGACCACAATCCTCTATAAGGCATCACTTCTATTCATCCCTGAGTCTTGCGACTCCAAATAACCTCTTCACAAAATTTCTCGGAAACCACTCGATTTTTCCACCCTCCTTAAGGTATGTTCCATTGGAACTCGTTCACATGGCCCTCTAGCCCCACATTCTATCACATCTGATCCTTAGACTGATCAATCTCAACGGAATAACGGGTAAAACCGGAGGCACTATTCGTCATGAAACATGGCACTCGAAACATGCTATCTCCCCTCAATCTGCTACAGATCATGGTACTCGAACCATGCGATCACCTCTCATCTGCTACGAATCATGGTACTCGAACCATACGATCACCTTTTATCTGCTACGAATCATGGTACTCGAACCATACGATCACCTTTCATCTGCTACTTAGAATCTCTGGAATTTTTCCGGTATCGAGTATGGGTCCTCTGCTTTCAGTAGTACGGGCCCATACTACCTGCCACATCTACCCATACTTTCCACCTGAATCATCCCAGATTTCCTAAGTAGCTACTTATTCTCTTCAATTCACCAATCTCGTCATACTTGTTCACTCTCCTGCAAATACTCTTCTTCTATCAGCATGCTTATCTGACAAAGGTCGTTCCCTAGGCTCTCCCTAGGTCTTCACACTTCTCTGCCATCAGCTGCTGAAGAACTCCTTATGATGCCAGTCATCTACCTCATGAATATCGTCATATTCACTTAGTAGATGACTCCCATCATCAAGAGTCCCACAAAGCACGGAGCAAGCAGCATTCGGGCATCGAATATCCACCATCAACACATAAACCACTCTAGGCTACAACTCTGATCGCTCTACACACCCTCAAAAGGGTATCACCGAACTCAAGCAACTCTACCCCTCGTGGGTATCTACTACTCTCTAAAAAGGCTTCTCCAATGCTCATCTAGGTATCTCTCCTAGATTACTTCTCTATTCAAAGCATAACACATATAGCAAGATCCCTAGACTAAGGCATCACAAATCAGGCCACTCTAGTCCTAAATCATGAAATACCTAGCCTACTTCTATCATGCATAACATATCTCATATCATCTCATAACACATAAAGTAAGGGTATTTTGGGACATCACCGTTCGGGCGCTGGCTGATTGTACACACTGCTCGTTACCTCTTTCTCTTAAAACTTCTTACTCATTTGCAGAAAATCGTTTCTTTTGAAAACCTTTCTCAATTCCTCAGTTTGAGTCCAGACATACCCGAAGGTGTATCCGAATCCCTCAAACCAAGGCTCTGATACCAAATTGTAACACCGTGAACTTTAGAACCAATTTTTCATTTTTAAAACCTCATAAAACACATGTCATATTATTAAAAAAACCAAATATCAGTTTAACAAAGTTTTCAAAACATTGAATCAAATCCAGGATCCATGACATAACTCCATCTCAATTGTGTGTGTGTGTGTACAATCATGTCGGTGCCTTCCCGCGATTCTGAGAAAACCTGAAACACATATCACATATCACGGTAAGCACGAAGCTTAGTGAGTTCCCCAGAATACCACATAGACATATTAGCCTCTCGAGGCTATAGCACTGTATGACCTTCCGGTCAATGTGTCTCAGTGGACCTTCCGGTCCCACAACTCTGGTAGACCTTCCGGCCCTGCCATGACTTGCCTTCCGGCCCCAAATTTGTTTGCCTTCCGGCCCAATTCATACAGCATATACATATCACATAAGTCACATAACTCATACAAATACATAAGACCTTCCCGTCACACATAATTACCATTCCAGGTAAAGTATAGTGAGAAGACTCACCTGACAAGCAGCAAGTAAATAACCTCGCACCCGAATCTCGAACTAGCCTCCGCCTAATCACAAAGGATGAATACTCTTTTCACAATTCAAACAACCGAAGACTATTCTTTCTCTTTCTAACTCTTTGAAGTGGATAAAAGACCATTTTACCCCTCCATGGTCCTTATTACTCATGTTGACTAGAACCCCATAGTCAACAGAACTCAACACTCGAGTCAACAATCCAAGTTTGACCCGACTCGTCGAGTGCACTCTTGCGACTCGTTGAGTCCCATCGTATCCTCAGAAGTCTCAAAAGGTCTAGCTTAACTCATCGAGTTGACCCCCAACTCGCCGAGTTATCACCCAATCAACCCATCGGGACAAACCCTCACCGACTCGTCGAGTCAGGCCATGGACTCGGTGAGTCCCTTCGATCAGATTCCTCATTCAAACGATTTAAGGCAGATCCATCACCCCAAACACTATATCTACCATCCTAAGGGTCGATTGTCACGTAAAGTTGCAAGCTTTACGTTTAAACATGGCATATAAGGCTCATAATGCCAATATAACTCTAACAGGGATGATTAACCACAATAACTCTTCTATGGTTAAGTAAAGCTATAATCTTTGGACTCTCTGGACCTCTCAAGGTCCAGATCTGAAGTCTAGGCCTCAAGAGAGACCTTATGCATACAAAGTCCCAA